GCAGCTGTACACCACAAACTGTTGTACAGACCAGACTACTGACCAGAGAAAGGTCTGGTGCTAAAAAGCTCCCAGGAATATAGGTATAAGAATGAAGTCTTCAGATTTTGAAGGAAGGCAAGATAGCTCCAAAAACTGGCTGACATTGTAAAGAAAGCTTTTGTTGCTATTTTTTTCCTTCCTCCTGTAACTGTGCTAAACCAGACAGCAATCTCTCTATTTGGTCCCTTAAACATAAAGCAAGTTAAATGCTAAAAGTTCCAAACTGCTTCATTATTGAAAATGAAATATATGGAGTTCCTTAAGGATAAAGAATGTTACTGCTTGTATTTTTTTGGCATAGAAATTCTCTAAATCAGAGAGAAACAGTGATTTAATAAAACTTCATCTTTTTACTTTAGCAATCTGCCTCTTAATTCTTCCTGGATGACTACAAAAATACCCTTTTTAATGAAAACAACTGCAATAGAACATAAAATGTTTCTAAGAGAACATTAGAGACTTCTTTTCTTTATTACTTTCTCATTGTTCTCATAATGAAGAAATAATTATTTCTAGGCTGTTTCCTGCCAGATGCTCCTCTAGTACCTTTAATAGTACATATCTTAAAATAACTGCTTGGTAGCAAGTAACTAAATTTTTCATCTTTACTAATGCTTTCCTCTTTCTTCCTTCTTTCCTCTTGCCTCAAATAACTTCACTTAAGCTCTTTTGTAAATCCTGGCCTTTCTGTTTTGGTTTGGTTTTTTTTGGTCCACTATTTATCATTAACAAAATTGACAAAATCACCTTTGTAGTGGTAAAAACAACCACATATGGCAACTGAGGTTCCAGAAAGCCTCTTCTTTAAAGCCAGTGGAGTCAGAATAAGAATCCTCCAGTTGTTCTGGGCTGGATTAAAGTTGTTGTAGAATCACATCAATCCCACCCTTCTCACCATCTCCTTTGTAGCAGCACTAACAACAGCGAGCCAAATCAGAAAACTGATCCAGCAGGCTGCTAACTCAGCCACAAGATAAACTTGCTTTTAGCTAGACAAGTTATTTCAGCCAGGTCACCATCACCACATGGGTACATCTCCCAGCACAAAGCAATAAGGTAGGAGCACTACCTTTAGCAGTAATTCAGTTTTATGGCGGAGTAATAACGGTCCTAATGATGTAATGCATAATAATATGGTCTGTCTGGTGCATAGCGCTTCAGAGGCTGGTAGTACATAAGCCAGCTCCCATCCACAGTCCATACAGATATAGCTCATATTCTCAAGGACTGGATTAGGCACAAGTAGATTCATTTCCACCATGATTGCTTCTGGTATTGATCTGCAAAGGCACCCATCTGTTACAAAAGGATGCAGTAATATAATTCTATGGGAACTATAGCTATTCAAAATTCTTCAAACCTTCACAACTGGTCTAATGCCAGAAAACACTGTCATAAATTGATAAAATATGAAATACATGTACGTACAAAAAAATGTTTACTTGAAGTACAAAATGATTTATTTAATAACCTCACAAAGTTTAGCAGCTAGGTTTTCAAGCTGTAAAACAGACTATGGAATTATTGTATAACTATAAACTATCTCACATTTTAAAAGTACTGTAAATACATACTTGCACGTGTTCTTAATTTCCAAGTGCTCCATACTTCTGTATCTTTACTTACCATGGAGATGAGACATCAGCACAACATTTTGAAGCAGGACAAGTTAGTACTCAGTTTAATTTTGCAATGCATTGAACTCAGAAGTCCAGCTCAGTGCTTCACAGAATCACTTGCTTCTTCTACCAATCTTCAGCTAAGATTTTTCCAAGGATCAAAACATATTCACAAATAAGATTATTTCTCTTCTTTGTGCCAAGAGACCATCTATAGAATGCTATGCCAATTAACAGCAGTTACTTCAACATAGCAAATGCTGAAATAGATCAACAACAGCAAGACCAACAACAGGAGATAAGCCAAGTCTCTGTGCTAGTTGAGGGTTAATTCAGTGGCACATTTTTTTTGTTCTTCAGGATCTTTTTCTTGAAAATGGAGATATGACGATTAAATAAATAACAAATAAATAAATAAATAATACCTACCTCACACCATGCTTTTCATCCGGAAAGATAGTCTTTCAAAGTAAGACTGCTTGCAAGTGCATCTGGAGCCTGCTTCCCTCAGAATTCAGAGATTTGAATATTATTATAAATACATATACAGGATGTGATCACAGTAGTATTTTTAAATGCTAGAATTATGCTGCTATTTGAAGAGATCATTCAATAGCTGGTGGGAGTTTGGTTGTTCTCCTAAAAAGGGAATCTCCAAATCTCCAAGGCTTTTTTTTTCCAGTTTATTTTTATTTCAAAAAATGTCATGATGCTCTTGGTTTCTCTTGCACAAAATAATGAAAATAGAATTCTGACCAGAAAACATAGTGAGCTGCAGTGGATAGGAACTGGCTTGCTTTGAATCAAGTCCTTTCTAGCAGAGCAATATAAAAAGAATAAGAAAGTGTAAGAGAGATCTGTAAATGCATTCAGTTACAGACAAAAATATAAAACTAATCAATTCTGAAAATGGTACCTACCACATTTTCTAATCCATGTGAACACAAAGTATGCTTCACAAGTTCTGTCAATTTTGTAAGAATTGAATTTTTTGTTCTCTAGTTAAGAACATGGTAAATAACATTAGCAAAGAGAGACCTTTTCTGAATTCTCTGTACTTCATGCTACTCACACTTGCTTGGAATGTGCCAAAAATTTACTTTCAAAGTCTGATGAATGCAGAACATGCTGAAACTGCACACCACACTCACATTCTTCAAAAGTGTAACAGCTTGCTTCTGAGTAGTCACTACAAATGAAGACTTAGTGAGGACTTAGAAGAATTAGTGTGTATCAGACTCTTGCAAAACAATACACTTTTTCTTCCAGAAGAACCAGCAGAACTTCCTATTTGAAGTGTACTTAAATCAATAAAAAGCCCCACACTGATGTTAGTACATTGCCTCCCGACAATCTAAACATAAGTAACTTACTTTCAAATCACACTATGAAAGAAATATTAGGTCTTAAAAAAATAAAATTAAAAAAATGTTTGGGAAAGATACAGAGGCTGTCATCACCTAACTGGTTGCTTCCTTCCTAGACTAAATTCTTTGTTGTTTTTGTATCCATAAGTCCATTTAACCACGGGATTTGCACTAAATTTACCAACTGTGCATTGTTTTGCTTTATGCTCATCAGACCATCCAGAGAAACATCTCCCACTCTCCTCAATTCCTGTGGTACCATGTAAGCTTACTACCACATGTATCTGCAGTTCTCCACTACTCGGTTTTATCCACATCATCATTAAACAATATATTTCACCTAGACTTCTCAGCCAGGCATTTGTCATTTTCCTAATCTGCCAGTTTAACTTTAGGATTAAAAAAATCCAGGAACAATATTTTTCAGCTGTGTTGTAATTATAATAGCGTTAGCCACAGAACAGCTATCCATTTTAGCAGAAGTTCCCTTTACCTCCAATAACATAAGGCAGATGGTAAAGTCTGGATCTACATAAATATAAACCACAGATTTTGATATTCTTACACAGTATGCAGTCTCTTCACTATGTCATAAGGTTCACTGCATCAGAATGACATGCAGGAGGTATGCAAGAAAACAGAAGAAAACAGAATTCTGCACATATTCAAAAGATGAGTACATTCATTTTTCTCTGAAACAGTGGCTCAATCTCATCACCTATACACACTTGGCTTTCCCAGCTTTTTGCAAAGCCCATCCTCAGTAATGAAAATGATGAGATGTCCAAGGTTGCATTTGAACTCACTGTAATCAATAAATTTTAGTTCCTGCTAAACAAAAAGCCTTAGGCACATTCCTTAATAAATTATTTGCCTCTTTCATTCAATTATCATGTGATCTGCTTGTCAGATTGTAAAGTAATGTAGACTGAATTACTTAACAGTTTACAAAACCTGTTTGATTTTTTCCTAAAAATTATGCAGGAAAAGAAACACAGAGTGTCTCAGAAATGTGCCACTGATATCCAATTGATTGAGACAAGTCCAGTCTGTAGCTGAGACTCCAGTTCAGCTGCTGAACTCTAAGAGTTCAGGTCACCATGTGGTACTGGGGTCTAGGTTTGCCTCTTCACTTCATTATTCTAGTAACTGCAGTGAAAACTCTTAATAGTGAGCTAATATACATTTGACCTTGCTATGTTGACCTCACAGTTGACCATGAAATATGTTTCAATGCATGTGAAGGCAATCTTCTCAAACTGAGCTTTTAACTGTTTTTCTCAAATGACTCCATTACTGGTTGGGGCTGCATCACTGAAATCAGTAGGAGTTTTGCTATTGGTAACAATGTCTCTGAGGAAACAGCAGCTAGTGGGATTGATTTTTGTTTTTTTCGTAAGGTTCTTTGTCTGTTTATACACTTTTCTTTCTTGGTAATAAAGATGACTGAAGTGGTTGGTTAGTTCTAAATGGCTATGTTACTGTCAAGAGAGACCACCTAACAAAACCAAGATAAAAAAAAAAAAAAAAAAAAACACCAAAAAATCCACAATTCCTGTCAAGTTTATTACACTCAAAATCAGCCCTAGAGATCTATATGGGCACTGAAATAACATGTGCAACATTCTCCCTTTAGATTTTATTAACCGCTATTGAACATTTCACCCTTTATATTTAAGCATATTCCTGCTTTTTTTTTTTTTCACGCTTCTAACTTGCACAGTATTCAGAACCTGCCAGTATACTGTAGGCTGTTTACTGTTTCTGATCATTCTGCAAGAAGATTAAATATGATGAAAAATTCCCTGTTTACATTGCCCTTATGTACTTTGCAAAGCTGGTTATGGTTATTTCTTCTTATACTGTAACACAATAATGTAGCAAAGTACAATAAATTAGTCCTAGGCTCATCATGAGATTTATATATATATATATATATCTCGTTTTGAATATAAACATGCAAGCACCAGAAGGTAATTCAGGAATTGACTGATGGGTTAAAAACATATTTGTTCTGAGATATCATGAAAAATTTTTTGTAACAAGGAAGCACAGAAATTAGTATTTTGAATTCAAATAATTCCTGCAATCATTTTCTCCTTCTTGTAAGTCTTTAAAATGAAACAGGACCTACAAACAAATCCAAATAGCACATTTACTTCAACCTTGGCTAAACAGCCTGAACCGGTGTTGATTCTACTGAACAATGCACAAAAAAAGCTTATTATATGAGCAGTATAGGGGGATGGGTAGAAAGGAAGAGACAGCTGTTTAGAGTGAATCATTTAGAGCTCTGTCTAAGAGAAAACATCCTCATTTTTCCATCAGAGAGAAAAGCAAAGAGTAATTTCAATAACTTTTGGAGCAAACACTAAGTTCTCAACACATAAAGCCACTGTTCTTCACACTAGAAAAAAATTACCCCTTGCGCAATTATGATCAACAATTGCCAGAGGATTAGGGTTTTTTTCTTCCAGCTTCACAAAATAAACAAATGATCTCTGTTGTAGAATATCTGCTATTCTGACAATCTGCAATACTGTGATTAAATTAGGGAAGCACAGCCACAGCTCCCATTGATACATCTGAAGATGCAAACTACTGCACCTTGACAACCTGCATGTGTGCTTCATTTCCAATCCCATATTTTGGAATGTGTAATGGTTTTTTAAGGAGCACTTTAATCTTGGGCTTCTTCCACATATAAAAGGTGAGGACTTTGCCTATCTTCTTGAGAACGTCACTTAAGTGAACAAAAAAAGAGTAAGGTAACCGTTTATACTACTACATCATGATAAAGACATGTAAGACATTCCAAATCCTATGAATCCTACCATGTACATTCCAATGTTCTATATGAAATGGTAGCCTAGAATCCATGGTACATGCTCTATTATACACCTCTTACAGTCTCCAAGATCCTATAAGCTAGCAGGTCAGATTCTCAGCTGCAAAATAGCTACTATGTTTGGATTGATAGAGATATATATGGCCACTGTACAGTGATTCTCATCCCAGTTCTGTGTAGGGCTGTCTTGATTACTCCAGCTACTTGAGGTTTCCATCAGACTCTCAATCACTTTATCATTACTTGAGCAGAGAACTCCAGAACACCCACCTCAATGGCCTCAGCGTAAAACTTTGACAATGGGCTACCAATCTGCCATGTCAATTAACTGTAGTTAATGATTAGTCCAGGCAAAGGAGAATCGGCTTCTCCTTAATCCTTTAAAAACAGCCAGATCACAGCTGAGAATTTGGCCCTTGATATTCACTTGTCATCTGCGTAGAAATGCTAACTGTTTGCCTAGCCAGATGGAACTCCACAAAAACCTTCAGACTGATGGCCAGCATATCCTCCGTTCATATAGGTGAAAAGAACACTGTTGATAAGATTTTTATCAAGCTTAAACTGTTCACTTCTTTTTTTAAATAAAGAAAAGTAGTTGTCTGTTCGTACACTGAACCACTAAGGAAATCACCCACAGTGTAAGAAAAACTAATGAACCATAAATACACCTTGTGTTTCCCCTGCTTCGTCTAGAAACATGCTTTTTGGATTTATGTCACAGTGTTCCTTCACAAAAGGGTGTCTCACGTTCACTCAAAGTTGTGCCATAGCCACACATATCAAAGCACAGGAAAATATGTTTTCCTTGATTTTGAAGCCACTTCAAAATTTGCTGTAAATTTAACTTGACTCAAACATTATATAATAAAAGAGAGAGGAAAACATGTTCAAAGGAAATCAGAGGTATATGACTGAAAAATATGGAAAACAAACAAAACAAAACAATTAACAAATCCAAAAGCATCCAAAGGAAAGAACAAGGAATTCAAAAACTTGAACACTGTGGACCTGGTTCCATTCTATCATGTGATGTAATTTAGAAATAAATCCATTCAAGCTGGTCAGCACGTTCTAAGAAGAATCACATTTAAGATCACCTTACCAAACAAAAAAATCCAATTTTGAGAATTACTTCAGATTTCAGATTTTATAAGGTTAATTCATTCTTATTTTGAAGTGAAAATTTCCAAGGCTGCAATGCAAAATAATGCTTCGTAAAAATATATGGAGCTCTACAACTCCTTTGCATAACTCTTCTGGAGTTGCACTTTCCCAGGCTGGACTCTATTTTCTTTTTCCATTGCTCATTTTCCCCCCATTCTGCCAATTTTAGCCTAGCACAAAAAGTCCTTTTCTAGCAGGTACTGTCAAAATATTCAGGACATGGGTCTTGCAGTCAAGAAATGCAATGCTGTGTCCAGATGACAGTACTAGGTACCTCAGGGATCCATGATAATCAACACGCATAATTCCTAGCAGTGGAGATGAATTCCACTGCACAGTTGTGCACCTCCATCTTTGATTTTTTCCCTGTGCATGTTTCTCCCAAAGGCAAGTAGTCTGTCTGAAGAGTGACGATTCACTCCTAGCTGAAGGGAGGAAGAGAATTCTGTTACCTATTTTTAAGAATTACCTCATTATCCCCAAGATCTCCAGCCTTTACAATGGGAAAGTAGCACACAGCTTTTATAAATAAGAATTGACTTTTTAAATAGTTTCAAAAGAAGAAACTCTGCATCAAATGTGAGTATAATTTTTGAACTACTACATAGCAGCAAAACTACATTAGACTTTCTGATTTTTCCATGGTATCCTTGGATAGATACACCACCCAGTAGACCATGTTAAATGCTCCAAAGGTAACAGGAAATAAAATTCGTGCGTATTTGTCTATCTTACTAGTGCCAGAATGAGAGGCAGGGGGAACAGGTGGTGTGACAGCAGATGGTTTTGCAGATGCTCCTAATGTATGAGGTGTGGTGGTCTGAATCTGCTCCAGTCTAGATCCAAGCAAGTGCTGAATGGAAGGGGATCCAACTGTGGCATGCTGGGATACAAATCCAGTTAAAATTGGGGTAGAAGGAGGAGCTGGAGGGGTAGCTCTTGCAGAAGATAATGTCTCTGATGCATTAATACGTGTGAAAGGGTTGGGACTTGATGCAGAAAGGGAGTGGGGTGTAATGTCAGAAGACCCCTGAGCTACAGAGGGAGGCTGGATGGAACTGTGCCTTGTGTCAATTCGACTCCCACCATCAGCTTCTGACTGTACTGTGGCATTCGTTCTTTTCCTCACATTTGAATTGGCATCTGTACTCTGCAAAGTTACAAAAAAAAAAACACTAGTCATTCTTAGAATAAACACATGAACAGAAGCAATGGAAACTTTATAATCAAATATTAAAAGAAAAATACTCACAAATATCAATAGTAGCTTGATCTTGAAGAATAAAAATATCACATGTTCATGGAAACAGATTTAATAGCATATAAAGTTATAAACAGGAATTCCTTTTACCTGTGGCTGTAATACAGGTAAACATACCTGACACTTCACACTCAATGAGATCCCTATGTAAACTTAGTACCATGAGGCTAAACATTCTTGGCTAGAGTTTTTTCCAGGTTCACTTCAAAGAAAATTCTCTTTGTTTGCATAATGATAATTAATCTGATAATATAAAAATAGTCTAGAACTGACCTACCAGCCAATATGATTTTCGCATTTTCTTCTCTAGAAACGTAACTACCATACATTAGGAATTCTAGCCATCTTCCAGAACAGAGAAAATGCCATTATTTACCAAACCAAGTTTCCCCTTTCCCTGTTCATTCAGAAATAAAACCAATGCATTTTCACATTAACCACAGGCGATAAATTATCCAGCTGCAAATGAACCAGTGAATAAACCAGTCATCCATTCTATTGCACCCTTCCAGTTATCAACTAAGAAAAGTGGTGAAATCTTGTCTTCAGGCAAGCCTGGATGTCATTGTGAAAGATACACTTAAGTCAAGTAGTACTTATTAGGCTGTGTAAGAAACTGAAGGATAGATAAGAATTTAGAGATAGCAAATCCAGCAGGGTTTAATATTTTACTGATTTCTGAGAGTTGTTCTTCTCTGTTCTTCTCTGCACGTAAGAGTAACCATAACTCCACCTGAACCTCCTTCTGGAAATGTACCTGAAAAGCAGAGTTTTGAACCATCAGCCCTGCACTTTCTAGATATAATACATGAATATATTTTGCAAAGAGGCACGCTGCTTGTCAAGAGACATGGATTTAATCACTGGTAGGATACACATATTCTACAGAAGCAACACAGGCATAGAACAGATAGAACTAAATAACCTCTTGCTATACACCAAAAATACATTTTCCACATCTCTGATTTATGCTTCTCAAGTATCGCCTTGCATCTTCACATGCTGCTGTAGCTTTGTCTCCATTACTTCCCCTTTTCTTTCCCTCTATACCAAAAGAATCCAGCCAAAACTCACAGCACAAGGAAGAGAAAGACAGAAAGTATGCAGCAATCTCTCTTTCCTCCAACAGCAGTTCTCTCCAGCTAAGTGCTCAAGCAGAGTATAAATGGGGCATTATTTGAGGTACCAGTGCCTTGAACACAGTGAAGAGTGAAAACCATGCCTGTTAGCTGCATCACTTGTACTTAGTTGTTTTGTTCAAAGAAACAGAAATAGGAGCTGAAAAAATATCTGGAAAAAAAAAAAAAAGGAATAAAAATATGCACACACATACACGAGGACTGCTCTGGAAGAAATGCTTTCTATTTTATTATATTGGCCTGTAATGTCAGAGGCAGATGTGGGTGGTATGGCAGTAGAGGGTGAACCTTTCCAACAATATTCTATTACATGTTGTTGCCATGTGACAGATGGCAGGAAAGGCGTACTCTGACAAAACAGTATCTGACATGGAAGTGCATAGATATGGCAAAGGTATGGAATTGAATTCTTCCATGTAGAAACATTTTTACCCACTGAATTTCACTGACCCTAGCTGAATACTCATGAAAACCAAACAGTGGATGTGAGCACAGTGAGGCGGGGGGTAGTGCATTTCAGCAAAGGCAACAGCACTGAAAACTCAATCAGCTCATCCATCTACATCAGCTAACGGTGGTGACTATGTTGAAAAACAGTGTTGTGTAGCTGAGAATTTCTTTATCAAATAGCGCTATTGTGCTCCTTGTATTTCTTGTAGTTTCCATGAAAATAAATAGGAGGCATTACTTTCAGAGCTACTTATGTATCTCACAGTACATTTCCAACACTCCCATCATGATCAGAATGCTGTCCCCAAATTCTGTTCTTTGCAGAACAAATCAGTCACTGGTAGTATTACTAGCTTGAATTTGTTTGAAGCTGTATCACACAGGCATGAACAGCAGCCAGTTCACAGCTGACATATTTGCCAGCTCATGGTTGATATATTCTTTGTTGCCATTGGTACACAAAACTTCCAATACTTCAGGAACTTAATGTTTAGAAAGACAGTTTCCTCCTCAGTATTATGATGTGCACATGCAAATCTGCTGAAGTGGAGCAGAACATGTAATAGTTCCCAGGGTGAGTTCACCAGGACACTGCCACCACCTTCCCTCACAAACCCTTGTTTTACACTGGCCTTATTCAACACTGTACCACAACAATAACTCATTCTCCTTGAAAACTCTCAAGGGAATCTCCTTTTTGGTTCCTCCAGCTGAAAAATTATTCTTAATGACGGTATACGTGTCCCTGTGTCCTCCTCTATTAAATGCTAGTCATCCAATTCTTCCCACATTAGTCTATTTCTTCTCTGCACAGATGCTATCTCACAACCCTACATTATCTGAAATTTTCACCTTACTACTGCCTTGTGCCAACATCACTAATAAAAATGTTAAATAAGGTTGATTCCCCAGCCACAACTTAAAGAACCAATTTCTGTTGACATCAGCAGAGGTCAGATTAACCATTACATTGTGAAACATACTCAAATGCTACATTTGATTTGTACTAATTAAAACAGATATTTCAGTTGTGGTACATATCACTAGTAAAAGGATACTATGATAATCTGAATAACAAAATTATTTATCATAGAATCATAGAACATCCTGAGTTGGGAGGGACTCATAAGAATCATCAAGTTCAATTCCTGACTCCATACATGACCACCCAAAAATCAGACCATATGTTTAAGAGCACTGTCCAGACACTTCTTGAACTCCAGCAGCTCAGGGCAGTGACTACTGCCCTGGGGAATCTGTTCCATGCCCATCACCCTCTGGTGAAGAACTTATCCCAACACCCAACCTGTCCCTTTCCTCACATAGTTCCATGCAGTTCTCTCGGCTCAAGTTGCTATCACCAGAGAGCAGAGCTCAGCACTGCCCCACTGCTCCCCTCATGAGGAGCTGCAGGCTACCACAAGGCTTCCCCTGAGGCAAAAGAGCATAAAATCTTGCTGCCTCCTAAAAATATTTTTCTTGCTTGGTGGTTTTTTTTTTTTGTGTTTGTTTGATTATTTTTTTTTTCAAATGACAGTAAGAAACACAAACCTACTTCCTCTCAGTAGCTTTTAATTTGGAGGTATGAGAACAAGAAATAAAACATGAAAATCAAATGAAAGTCAAATTAAATGCAACTCAAGAAATGAAGGGATTATTCAAGTAAAGATTCCTTTTCAAGGGCAAGTCAGAAAACACTCAGTTATTCTGAGCCAGCGCAGAGCTGTTGTGCTGCTCCAGATGGGGCTCCATGGGAAACACTGAGTCCACATTTTTTACTTTTTTTTTTTTTTTTTTTCCACTCTGGATTCAGAAAGGAACTCACTTTCTAGAGATATTTGGGTGAGATTTTTGAGAGACATATAAAATGCTGTAGTTAACAAAGGGAAAATGAAGTCTGAAAGCTCCCATCAAACACAGTGTATCACTGCATGCAACACCAGCTAGCTTCAGTGTGTTTGATGAAGATTGGCTTTTCATAAAACAGGCCAATTTACTGCATGTAAATGACATCTCACTCTTCCTTTGAAACAGCCTATCATTTTGAACAGCTCCATACTTCAGAAGCACCAGCAAACTACAAGTTCTAAGTACTATGCTTCACTGTATCCTATTTCAAGAGGATGCCATCTTTCAGAAGAGATTCATAATCATATGGACTAATGAAAGAGCAAAGTAGAAAAAGTATATACAGAAACATTTAAAGAGCTCCCACCCTATGCTTTGACCGGGAACAATGGAACAGAACACGATGTTCAAATTCTGTCAGGCAAGGAAATAAAAGGATTTGTTTACAACTCCATCCCCTGGAAAAGTGCTCCTCTTCAACATGGAATGCACCTCAGCCTCCCAGCCTGTTGAAAACAGCTGGAGCACAGTAACTGTGACTAGCAGCTCCTGAAGCCCAAGCTAATACATCTGTAACCCAGTGCCGTGTAAATCAAGGGCCTGTTGTTTTGAGAGTCAGTGAATGACTTGGCAAGTTTAATTTATTTGAGAATATGGAGACCGTTATATCACAATCAATGAAACAATATCTGCAGTATTGCAAAAAATTTTTGAAACATTTACTGTATTACAAAACCATACAAACTCTTGCTTTAATTTTTAGCATACCATTTTGCAGAACTTTTTTCCTTTGAAACAGTACATTCAGTATGAATTATTTCCATGTCCTGATGTAAGATGTCTTTTTGCTAGTACCAGAGCACAAAGTCATAGAATCATATCATAGAATCATAGAATGGCCTGGGTTGAAAAGGACCACAATGATCATCTAGGTTCAAACCCCCTGCTATGTGCAGGGTCACCAACCACCAGACCAGGCTGCCCAGAGCCACATCCAGCCTCGCCTTGAATGCCTCCAGGGACGGGGCATCCACAAACTCCTTGGGCAACCTGTTCCAGTGTGTCACCGCCCTCTGTGTGGGAAAAACTTCCTCTTAATATCTAACCTAAACCTCCTCTGTCTCAGTTTAAAACCATTCCCCCTTGTCCTATCACTATCCACCCTCATAAACAGCCATGCCACCTCCTATTTATACGCTCTCTTCAAGTACTGGAAGGCCACAATGAGGTATCCCTGGAGCCTTCTCTTCTTTCCAAGCAAAAGTCTGTTTCGCTTGGCATGGAGATAGAATAACTAAACAGTTCTCCTCACAGGTGTAAGATGCAAAATTAATACAGCTTCCTTCCCCCGACAAGTGGATTTGCATGCAATTGACCACCAATAATAAGACTAACAAAGCTCTCAGCATACTTTAAAACAAATCCGTACAATCTACTGTTAAACAGTATGGC